TGTGCAATTGCATAATATAACATAGCAAAGTTATTAAGACGTTGTATATATGTTAGCATATATCATCTGATACGATAATGGCATCATTATCATAGCACAAACATCGAAAGTGATAAAGCTTTGCACGTGAAACAGAACAAGCTGTTTGCTGGCACGGGATGGTCGCATTAAAATTGCAACTCACCACCCTGCGTTGAGAAATATGTATTTTTTGCCAGATCCCCGGTCTAAAAAGATGTGTCTGTAATCTAGATGGAACTGGGCGCCAGACTGGTCGCTTCAGTGAATGGCCGAACACCTCGCGCATCATCTGTGCACACTGGTGCAATTGCATGCAGCGGCAGCCATCCGGAGGCCGTGCCAGTTCATAAGCCAGTTCATACCTAAGTTTCACGGAGGTTTTTTCTGCGGCGGTGTGGCGTAACGGAAGATGATTCGGAAAAGATACTGTTGCAGATGCCCAACATATGTTTTACAAATCAATTAGTAATAATGCTGATCTAGAAATATAAATCAAAGCCGCCATACGTTCAGTTGACCGCCAGTCATGCGGGAGACAGCCGGCCTAGGGCAGTCGCCGCCGACTGCAGACGGGAGCAAGGCCCCGATAAGGAATATATGACAGAAGGGCCTTCGTTCTGTGGCTTGGTTTTAAAGGAGAATCTTCAGTTTTATTGATTTCGTCACATTTTTTTACAGTTTCAAACTCCCGAATCTGTTTCCGCCTAAAATGTTGTGACAATGCTTTAAAAGCAGCGACGAGATGAAGGCGCATAAAAAATTTGTCGCAATGTTGGCCACTAATTCGCTTTCAAAATTCTCACCATCCCATGTCCAGGCCGCATTTTGGCACCTACCCTGTGGTGCCAGATGCCTCCTCAATAACCCAAATGCCTACCCGCTTGTAGAATTTCGCCTTCCCATGAAAAACAATGTTGAAATGGACGAATAATCCCAGGAAGCTGGACAGCCTTCATTGCCAAATAGCATAGGTGTGTTGAGTAGGCGAGATTGTGCACCAGTGGGAAACAGGTCTAGATGCATATGTAGCATAACAGCCATGACGTTTGAATAAAGAGCGATAAAAAAACTCCATCTCTACCCCCTCCCCTTCCCTGGTCATTGGGCTTCCTTACTGGAAAAGTTCCTGAAGTACGCCCTGAGCTTGCACCTTCCCCACTTTTTCAAACGTTCTTACGCGTATGACTTTGAATGTGTCAACTTGCCGAGTAAATCGATTTTAACAAGTCATCGAATGCATGAACAATCTTTCTGAATTCGACATTTTTGGCTGGATAGCAAGACATGTTTAGCTCCCAGTGTGTTGAAGCTCCTGCATGTTGAAACAGACCACGACAAATACTACGTGTGGGTTCAATGTGATTAAAGGGAGTGGTTCACATTTGTATGGGACTTTGAACTGAAAAAGGTCATCTTGAAGATCATTCGGTGTAGTTCACAGCCATGCCCCTCTTGAGACCTAACACTCTAGTTTCTGAGCTACACATCCGCGAATATATGCCGACTATTTTGCACAGACATTTTCAAGGTTACCCAGGCATCCATGACACCATAATGAGGGAATTCAAATATTGCCATCCCACTAGCCATGTGGCACCAAAGGACAAAACAATAATCATAGCCGAGTCGTTCATATCTGGCGTTCGTGCGCACGATCCCCGGATATAACAGCCGTCAATCGGCTCTTAACTAATGTTGTGTTACCTACGCACAATTCGAAGACGAATCACGTTTTGTGCTTTATGACACAAGAAGTTATTTCTTCTTCCTAGCTTTTACTGAAAGGGGATGCAACTACAGCCCACTATCGAACTTTTTTTTTCTACGCCGTTACCCAAGAACAGGTAACCAGGAGTGCCCCTCCCTCAATCCCAGCGACGCAGTAAACCGTACGTTAACGCCAGAAAACATAAAATCAAGTCGCGGCACTGCCAGCTAGGAAGATGACACAAACTTTTTTAAAAAAAACAGGCGAGGAGGTGGAGCAGACCCGAGGGAATTGTGTTATGTGAGAGGTAGGGAAAAATCATAGATGAAAAGGCATAAAGTAGTCGATAGCCAAAATCAGCTAATGACAGCCCGCTACAACCGCCCAATAATCTACAACCACTCAATTCCCCGTGTTAGTAAGGGTTATACAGTCACAAGTCGGAGGGGGGCAATTACCTGGTCATTTTTGTGCTGAGTTTTGAGCTGGATTTCCAGGGAGTCCACCCAGCTAAGCAGAGCTTGTTGCTGGGAGAACTCCCGGAGCCAGCGCCATGAATTTGGGTATATGTGCATGACTTTATATCAGAAATTGATCATGAAACATGAAGGAGGTCAAGTATGAAGTGCGTTGGATATGTACAGCACAAGGATGGCAATGTCTTCAAATATGTTTGCTACGTTAATATGTGTTCACGAAATGCTTGCGGATGATGTTCTTAACGATGGTTTTCGATACAGGGATATCAGCTATTCTTGGAAAATATGAAACCATAATGTCATTCTACAGCTTAGGGCCAAGGCAGGATGCTGTAAATAGTCTATAATTATGATGAGAGAAAAGTTGTTCTCAATGTTTTGCTCGCCTCATATCCATGTCATTGGATTCGTAGAGATTGTAAAAAAATCGAATGATGCAGAGAGCTGTGAAGTTAAAAATTTGTGCATCGCAATTAACATTTGAGATTTAGCAATATCCGATAGTTTCAAAATTTTGTATCGTTTAAAGATTGGCTCTGAGCTTTGCGGAGGATACACATTTTCTATAAGACGCACAGCCCTTTTTTACAAAATTACCAAGCGATCTAGTTGAGAAGCATAATTCATGCCCCAAACCAAGCAGCAGTAATTTAGGTAAGGAAGAATCAAAGTGTTATAGAGTAGATGTGACGTTGTTTTATCAATAAAGTACCTAACCCTACTTATTATTCCAATATTTCTACTTACCATGCTTGCAACAAAATTAGTGTGGCTTGTAAACTTAAGAGATTTGTCAATGATTACACCAAGGTACTTAATTTCTTTTTTCTCTTCAATAGGTGAGTTATTAATTTGCACATTTAGTCGGAAATGCGAAGAAAGGGTTGTGTAATGCTGTGTGAATGTTTTTGATACGTTCAGGGAGAGAAAATTACCAGCAAACCAAGAAGTCATTAGAAGCAAAAGCGTACTGACATTGTTTTGAAGTTCGACAATACTTTTATTTTTGAAAACAATCGCAGTATCATCAGCATAAGACAGACAAATCATGTTACTGCTTAATTTAGGTAAGTCATTGATGTACATTAAAAAGAGGATTGGGCCGAGAATGGATCCTTGGGGTACCCCCATTGTTACGTTTTTGATTGTTAATAGATCATTCCTGATTTTTACACATTGAGTTCTGCCAGACAAATAAGAAGAAATGATTTCATGAGATTTTCGTCGAATACCATATTTAGTAAGTTTACGTAGAAGAAGGCTAATGTTTACAGTGTCAAAGGCTTTTTCAGATCTAAATACAAACCTAACACATATTCCCCATTTTCAAAAGCCTTAGTAATAGTTTCCTGCAGATGAAGAAATGGCATGTAAGTACTTTTGTTCTTCTGAAATCCGAACTGATTTTGGTGAATTAGCTGGTTTTGGTTTAGATGAAGGACGAGTCTATTGTATATGAGTTTTTCAAGAATTTTGAACATAAACGGCAAAATACTGATAGGTCTGTAATTATCTACAAGTTGTGAGTCCCCACTTTTAAAGATGGGCTTAATCACGGCTTTTTTGAAAATGCTTGGAAATATCCCTGAGGACAAACAGCTGTTGAAAAGATGGAGAATTGGTTTGAGTATAACCTTATAACGTAACTTGAATATTTTTGCATTAGTATTGTCGACTCCAGCTCCGACGTTGTTTAGCCCATCGATGAGAAGAATTAATTCCTGTTCATTAGTGGGGGACAGATCCATTTCATTTTCGACATTTGTGATGAGCTGGAGGGGGTCGAAAGATGATTTAGGCATCTCGTCTTTTATCTGTTGTCCAATCTCGCTGAAGAAGAGGTTAAATGATTCTGGGATATCCGGATCGTCCGTGATAATTTTGTTATTAGTACCAATAATCCCGGTTGGATCTGCATCCTTTTTTTGTTTTGAATTGATGAGAGTGTGTAATGTTTTGCATGTTTCCTGGGAGTTCCCAGAATGTTTACGGAATTCATTACTGTAGTATTTCTTTTTGGCTAGCCTAAGAGATGTAGTTAGAATGTTGCGGTAGCAAGTGTATGTTGCAATATTTTGGGCACTGGGGTTCTTCAATTTCTGTTCAAATAGCTTGCTTCTACGTGTAGTTGATAGAAGAAGTGCAGGTGACACCCATGGTTTGCGTGAGCTGGTCTTTCTAGAAATGTGCCTTGTGTGAGAAAACCTGGTGATCCCAGCATTGCAAATATACACAATTTGATTTGCAATAGCATCAGGTTCTGGCTCATTTTCAATATCAACAAGATGGTCGACAAAGAGTTGTTTAAATTCTTCCACCCTTCTGTAAATCAAATGTGTAATGGGTGTTTGAACATCAGGGGAGTGTGGGTGTGAGGCATAGTTCATGGAAGCAAAACTAGGGAAATGATCAGACAAATCATGAAGGAGAATGCCTGTATGCATCACTTTTAATAAGTCATTGCAAAATATGTTATCTAAAAGAGTGCATGATGGATAGCAAGATCGAGTTGTCCTGGATATTGTAGGAAAGAAGCCATTTGAACACATGTTAGTGAAAAATGCATGCACATTAGAATTGATATCAAGTGAGAACAGATCAAAGTTGAAATCACCAGTAATAAATGTAACTTTGTTCATTTTATTAAGCCAAATTAGGCATGGCTCTAGCTCTGAGTTGAAGTGGTGTTTGTCAGTAAATGATATGATTATATTTGGCAAATTATATGATACTATAAATTTGGCAAGTGATAATATTAGCATTGTCACAGAGTAGTTCAGCACAAACCACTTCAGCTGTAGAGAAAACTGGGTTCCAAAGTTGTATAGGATGAAGATGATCAGCAATGTATACTGCTGATCCACCACCTACCCCATTTGATCTGCCGCAGTAGAAAGCTCGGTATCCAGGTAAGTCATAATGAGATTCCAAAGCTGGAGACAGCCATGTTTCAGATATAGAAATAACATGCCATGTTATATCAGTCTGGGCAAGTAGACTACTTAGATCATCCTGCTTCTTCTGGATTGAGCGAATGTTAACATGCATAAGGTTTAGTGCACTGGTATTATGTGGAATAACAGTTTTTATCTTTTCAGGTAAATAGAATGTGCATGCTTCTCTTAGTTTTTCATATTCATCATATGATAGTGAATGATAACTACCATCAATGTTTGAAGCAAATGGATTAAACACCTTATTATTTGAGGTTGAACCCATACAGTAAGGTGTTGATGGAAAGGAAGGTAAAGAAATGTGGATGAACAAGAATGAAGGTCATGGAGGGAGTTCAGAAAAGGGAGATTATTTTAATCAGTTTAAGATGTTTTTGGATGTGATGATCAAGACTTTGAAATGAGAAAGTGTGTGTTGAATGATAGATGCCAAAAACAGATTGTGTTGATGGGACTTTTCTGCTATTCACTGCTTTAGCATGCAGGCATGACATGAGAACACAGGCAATGAGCTTGATAAGTACCTAGAATAAACAAACATTATTATGAGCAACATAAGCCATCAAGCCAGGCACCACTGGCAAATTCCTCTTTACTAGAAATAAGGCATTATAATACAGTGAGTTGTATGTACACCACAGCCATGGTGTCATACACCAGTTTTCAAGAAAATCATGAATGTATGGGTAGTTACCTGAGGAATGTGCCAGCGGTAGCCTAGCCAGGTAACGTCACTAACCAATGGACCCACTACTTTTTAGAACTTGAGAGCCTGGTCTCAGGCCCAGCTTGCCTGCCTTCAACTGTTACAAACTCTTCAAGATTAGCAGCTCTGTTTAGCACATGACCAGCAGGAATGCGGTTCAGGGTCTGAGAGTATATGAATCGATTCTGGCCTGCTACACTTCTGTTCGCCGAAGAGGACAGTGTGGGTGAGTGTCATGGCTTTAATGATCTGCTCACGTGTGAACCATGGCTGTATGCGTACATATCTTTTGTCACGTGAGTTCCTTGCCAGAATGATGCCGTTTTTAGTGTGGAAGTTCATGACCTGGTCATTTTCACGCTTCATATCGGCAAGAATCTTGACTTGTCGAGCTCGCTTATCAGTCAGGTTTTTATGAATGATGATGCCTGGGCCATCAGTCTGCCGGAATTTAGCCTGGTAAACATTGTTCCGATCGTCCATGTCCTGGAATTTCACCAGCACCCTTTTTTTGTTTTTCAGACGGTGGCACGCCACCACGCCACCCTTTACGTCTACCTTGAGGTTTTCTTTGAACTTGCAGAAAATCATAGAGGCAATCCGGGAACAAAACAGTTTTTCCTTCTTTGGAGAGCAAGCTTAGCTATTTTCCCCTGCTCAGTCCTCATAACTTATGGTGCACAACTGCACAGATGAAAAATAGAGCACAGCCGGAACGGACCATTATCGAAAGACAGAGCTTGCCAGCGCTCGGTTGGCCGATGTGTGGCTCTATTCACTCAAAGCCACAATGTTGGCAGATGCAAATAAACTTTTCTAGGCGAACCTGTTATGCCCTCACATGCCACAGGTCTCACCTGTGCATTGAAACTACGCTTCACCGACACTCGATTCCCTTTGTGTGTCTTTTGTCCGGGGGATATGAGCACGACGCTACAGAATCATCAATGCATATCATTTTCAATGAGCGAAAAGTTCGAGAATTAAGCATGCCTCACTGATCTGTTACGTTATACACAACTTGCTACGCTACGTGCGTTCGTTTCTGGTTGCGCAGCTCATTTCTTTACATTTTCTCTAGACAGTTCATGTTTTCTATCAAAGGTATTCATTTTCATAGATCTTGCAACCAACTGCTACACATCGTATGACATACGTTAAAGTAAGCGACACACACTAATAAAACATACCCGAAAAAGAGACGGAAAATTTAGCTGCAAGAGCACTTGCCCCCAGAAAGGCACTCACAAATGCAGGACCAGCTGTGAGAGATTCTTCATCTTCTGATGAAGCAGGACGACTTTACAAATGAGCTTGTGGAACACCAAATCGTGGCTTTAGTTTGGTCCTCGCCGCGGGCCTAAAAGGCACTCGACCGTTCGGAAGTGCCGGACCGTGGCAAGAGTCGGATAAAGGGCACATCAGCAATACCGTAGGGTAAATATAATATTCCACATTTCAGAATATTGAAGCAAGCATGGAATATGGTGAAAAAGGCCCTCATCTAACTGTTCGTATCGTGGGTGTAGGAACAGTGGGAGGGGCATGGCCCCCCCATTTTTCAAGGTGGGGGGTTAGCAGTGGTAAGTGCCCCCCCCCCCCCTCCCCCACCCCCACACTTTTTAGATGTAGGTTGTGTTCAGCTTACTTTTGCACTACATTTAACATACATGGTGATTTGCCCAGTTCATCAGCCATCTTCCCCAAAGATGTGTCATCTTTTTCGTTTACTCATTGGCCATCGCTTGCTGTCAGCCGCAGGACCGACGTAGCGCGACGTATGGGGACTGCAAAGCAGGGCGTCGAGGTTGTTGCTGTGACTTGGCGGCGCGCATTCAAAGCCATATTACATGGTCCTTATCAGTTTTTTCAACTCTGACTGAATCTTGAACATTTCAAGATCAACATGGATTAGCCATGTTACTACAAATCTAAACCGCATTCCATCCACGATCTGGGTTCAGGGAGTCCTCAATATCTCTGAGGAACACATAAAAATATGGAAGTGGAGTACATGTGACAAATATTGGACCATCTGCTGCGAATTTTGTTGTGTCAAGGGGGTTCATGTGCTGATCCGGGGACAACTGCGCGGGTCAAAAGGCCTCCCGTGTCAGGGACGGGAACAACGTGATGTAATGTATCCTTCTAAGGGCCTCCGGATCCACCAGGAGATCCCGCCCCGTATCGCCAGAATGACAACCAGAAGTAAGTTCTTGATGGGACAAAAGGGCCCTTCAGGCATTGACCAAAAGCGGTAACGTGTGCCCTGTCTTCTACTTACGGGGCCTCTCGCCCGTAAGGAAATAAGTGGTCTCAAAATCTGCTGGAAAGAGTGGGGTTCTCGTTACTGTTGAATACAGAGGGTCTAAACGGGTAAAAATAAAACGAACAAGGCCATCCCATGCTGGGAGCGTTCGTTTTTTCAGAATGGCTTAGTGAAACAAATTACATCAAAGGTTTGAACATGCTCGCCCACAACCTCGAGAGTAGGGACAGCGACGGCCTGGGTCGCAGTTTCCTTAAAACCGAACGGCGTCGGTCATTGCAAGTACCACCAGACCGCGGGCGCCATGTTAATCTGCCTTGTAGACAAATGAAGAAGTACAGAAAAACGAAAAATAGGGGTTCCACCTTTACTCTTCCAGTTCCATCACCCGATTCCAGCACCACTTCGCGGTGCTTTAACACGCGCTCGGGTGGGGGTCAAATTGACCTCCCAAAGGTTTTTCCACAATGGCTTCCAAACAGCGCGGCGTAGCCACACCGAATTTTGCATAGCTGTAGACAATGGAATAGCAAATCATTTGACATAAAAAATTTAGATGTACCTTTTTAGGTCGTTGACCCATGGCAGGTCACAACCTGGCCATGGTTTCAACGAGGGCAATTTCTAGGGAGTCGTCCAACCTGATACAATAACGGAGTGTTTGACGAAGGCATACGTCTCTGAAAAGCTTTCTTAGGCACCACAAATATTGAATAAGCAAATCACGTTGACCTAGGGTCAGGTGTGAAAGTAAGACCAAGGTCACAACCAACCTCATTTATAACTCAAGGGCTTGCTGTATGAGATAGTTGTGGTGCTCTTTTCGAGTTTATTGACAATAAGAACCGCATCATGCATCTTCCATAGACTTCTTTGGGGTCATAAAAGGTCATTGACTTAAGATGACCCGAGTCGACATTCTGTTTTCAGGCACATACTGCCTAGCGTAATCTTCGTCGCTTATTTAAAGGCAAAACTCAAAACAGTGTTGTATGATTTCGGTCACCATGACCTTCAAAAGCTCGAAAAAGGTTACTGACCTCAAATGGACTTTTGACCTTATGCTTGGAAAGAGTTGCCTTGGTTCTTGGGGCACTTTGGCGACCAACCTGGAATTTGACCATATTTGACCTTATTTAACCTGAAGGTCATGACCTAGGAAGCTCAAACGTTGACCTACGTGAGTTCACATATAGGTTAAGACACCCTGCAAATTCAGTGTTTCTAGCTTTCTTAGTTCTCGGGATATCAGGGGGGTCAAATTGACCCCCACCCGAGCGAATGGTGTCTAGCCGGCCACCTGGGCGCGTGTTAGGGCTATGCGTATTAGGGCTATGCTATGCGTGCTAGGGCCAAAGGGCTATCGATGGTCAAGCATGCTGAGACTTTGATTTTTGACCAGATTTGGCTTCTGGCAAGTGATATGATTTAAGCTCAGTTTTGGGTTCAGTTTTCAGCTATTTGAGTTCAAATCCCTTAGAATGGTTAAAATCTTCCTTTAAAGAACCGCGTTTCCGCCTCTGGAGTGTCGCCGCGGCAGGTATCCCAATGTACATCTCAGCGTCCTGCCAGCAGCGGCGTGTTAAGCAATGCCTGGTACGGCAGGCTCGTTGTCCTGTCCGTGGTGCAAACCCCGTATCCTCCGGCTGATCCAAAAACTACGCGTGTGGGCAAAACGACCCATAGGGAGTATTACTGGTTGTTTTGTTCGCGGCTTTCTTGTTCTCCGGTCTCGTTCCATCTCCAAACTCTTTCAGATGTACTTGGCGATTATGCTGCAGAGAACTGCCTGGGTTCATGGACAATGCAAGTCCTTTTAACGCATGACCAAGTCAGATATTATCAATATGTTGCATGCTTCATCAGCAAGGCTACTTTGATTCGCAACAATGGTTGATCTGCTTCGGCACCAACGAGCGCGGAGTAGTGATCAGAAAGATGCATTCACCGTTTCAGTCAGATTCATAGACAATGGCCGGTTTTCTTACGACTGCATCCGTACAGCAGCCGCGACATCAATGCATTTCTGCAGCCTCTCGGATAGTTACAATCGACGAGCCAATACGATCAAGGCTCAGCGCAAGATGCTTACGGACTCCCGCATGGGTCTAAGAACAACGGCCAACCATAATCCCCGCATTGGCCCTGGTGAGAGAGTAGACCCAGTTCAGGCTGCCTATATCCAATAGTTTACGCGTGAACGCATTCACTTTTCACACAGACTGCGTTGTAACCGCTTGGCACATGGACTTGCAATTATCACAGCACTGTAGACCCACTTGAATTATACGCATTTTGACGTCTGGTTAGGTGTTCCAGCCCTCAGCAGTTTGTTCACTATCTTACAGAGGCATTCCGGTGTCTTGGCCGCCCATCTCTGCGGCAGTTTTCGCATAAGCGTGTTCACTGTCCATGCCGATTTATTTGTAATGGTTGGCTACTTTTAACTCGCAAATCACATTATAATACTCGACATCAGGTTTTACGCCACTGGCTTCCTGGCATGTGCAACTGCCGATAACAATTTGTTTGATAATGATACAACTAGGTCTTGATGTTCTGGCCGTCGTACTTCGCATAATTCTCATGGGCACATCTTTCAGTTTTATGCCGCTGCATCTTGTTTGCGGCGGCATAGGCTTCCAAAACATGCTATACTGCTCTCCATTAAGTTCTACGCAATCGCCTAGATGGACATGTGCGCCTCCCGTTACCAGTCTGTTTAGAATCTGTGCAAAGATTTCCGGTGTTCCGCCTGCCCCGCGGATTTACGCCCCACGGCTAGAGGCCGAACCGCGTTCAAGTCTCCGCACCAATGACGTCACCGCACTGTAGAGAGCGAATGAAAAGCTGTCTTATGACAAACCCCCACGCAAGGCATCTCCTGCTTTTATCCCACATAAAACATCACAAGTTGGTTGGAAAATGTGCAGTTATACACGTTTATCCATCCCGAATCGCCAGCGTAGCCTGTTTTGAACATCCGTGTGTAATTTCATTTCCTATCACCTCAGAAGCGTGAAACGCCGGCTGAAAAGTAAAAGCAGACTTCCAAGCCTGAAATGATGACGTCATCCAAGTTGGCAATTTACTAGCGGACAAGTCGGAGAAAAATGCAGAAAGTTTGGAAAGCCACCAATTTCCCCAGCCAGGTTCGCAACGTATTGACAAGCAGCGTCCGTCGAGCATAACGATTCTTGTTTCTTTGTTCTCACTCTGGGGTCGCCATAGTTCCTTCCAGGGGTCAAGGGGTGACGAGATGTCAGTGTTATGGTGGGCACATACTTTTCTATCTGACTCATAACTGCTGTTCAAAGGTCGCATGCGCCACCTGCCACGTCTGGTCGTAACGGTGGCCCGTGCGCTGCGGCCGCTCAAGTCGCTGCCAGCTGGATTCCAGACGGCAGCGGATCCTTTGTGCAACCCGAGCTCCATCGAGTGCGCTCGCGCTGCTCGGTGGTTGTTGTTCTGGTCGTGTTTAAGAGAAGCTGGGTATCTAGCGATCACAAGTCCACATTTTCACGTTAGTCTTTATCCACAAGCCATCACTTTGAGGTCATGTTACATGTGAAGCAAGGTACGTACGTCCGAACTCGTGCTGCCACTTTCAAACCCACGGGCTGTGAGTCACTTAACTCTAAATTCTAAGAGACTGAAATTTCAACGCATGACTGTGGTACCTGATGGGCATGAACAATGTTCTGGACATCCCTTTCATGGCATGTGCTTGTGTATAAGGCTATCCATCTTTCAATGTTTACGCAAGTGTTTCTTTGTGAAATTGACAATGTGGCTCGTTTGAGGCACCTGCTACCCATGGGCTGTCCATGGCCAAATTGTCTCTACATAGACATGTCTACATATATTCTCATTCAGGACTGTGGTCATTATATCAACCTAGGTGAATGTAAAGTGAGGCCTGGTTTTTTACATTCTTATGCTAGTTGATGTTTGATTTCTCGTCTTTCAAGGTATACATTGCTGATTCCTTTTGAAGAGCCTTCTAAAGGATCACGACGATTTTGTCTTGTGCAAGGAGGATTGATACCTTGGAGCAAGATCATTGCATCTGTTGGTGCTTCAACAGTCCCTTCAAAATGAGACATGTATACACACTTGAAATGAATAAAGTTCAACAGTTTGGCTCATTCTAATTAATAAAAACAGGTAGAGGAATTAACGGCGGTAGATTTGAATGTTCGCGAGACGGCCTTGTTATTATGACCAGATTAAGTATGTCTATCTCGAATTAATACAGGGTCATTAGATGTGAGCCATGGCAAGAATATACAAAAGCGATTGCCACGCTTTAAGATTTCTCACAGGCTCTTTTTTGGCAAAAGTAACATAAGTTTTGGCATGTGTACCTGGAATGAAAAATAAGATTGGCCCGCGTATGCTGGATTTTTGGAACACTTTCCGTGCGGGGCGAGTAAGGGCCTTCAAATTGGGGTGCGGGTCGAATGCGGTTATCACAAAAAGAAAAAAAATGGCGGCTTTTGTGGCAGCAAAAAATTGGTTTCCTATGCAATTTCTTTTTAGGGCACTGCAATCTTTTCTCTCTGGGGTCAAGGGTATGCCACATGCTACCACGTGATAAGTGCATACGAGCAGTTTTTCACAGGCTGCCAAAAAGTAGCCTGTGAAAAACTTTTGGGAAGGTGTAGTATTTGTATTAGCGCAATCCCACCTGCCCAATAATCTGCACAACCCACACTTATCGCATTGGGCGTCTTTTCCTTCCCTACGGTAATACCACCGGTGTAGTTGGTGCGTTTGAGTAACAGTACAACTTTTAGGTAATAGGATGTCTGAGTGGAAACGGTGACACAGGCGGCCATAATTATTCATCTTGCCATCTCGCAACACAGCTGTCAAACTCCCTAAATTTCGAGGGCAACGAACAGCCACCCCATCCAGTTTACTTTACTTACCTCGCGTAAAAGATGCCTATGGTACACGAGGAACGGGTCTCGCTAGTGCCAATACCCGCAAAATATCGGCGGCGGTTTTTCGAATCAATATCATTACTGCTCTGATGCTTTCCGCGATGCTTCTATTCCCTCGGCAAGCGAGGATAAGTGGCATACAGAATAACACCACGCACTAAGATGTGCGTAATAAAGGCTCGTTTCCGAGTCAAAGCATCATCCTCATCTTGACATTATCATTGCGCTGCGTCGTCACATTGCATGCATTACTACGTCGTCATTGCAACATCATCATTGCAGGCACCGCATGGGTTCTGTTGATGGTAGCTGCATCAGCTGGGGCCTGTGTCCCAAATGGTCTGGATTTGAGGCTGTTGAAGGCATTTACGACTGATTTGAGCAAGAACCAGGCTATTGCCCCGTTCGCCATGTCCACACTGATGACACAGGTCTGGCTCGGAGCCAGAGGCGACACCAGACATGAGGTACGTGCGTGGTAACGAGCTCTGCCCACCGTGCTGCTGACTCAAATTGTTCAAGTACTCCAGTATTGTCTCAGACTGCCCCGTACACGCACAAGTACTGTCTCAGACTGCCCCGTACAAGTACTGTCTCAGACTGCCCCGTACAAGTACTGTCTCAGACTGCCTCGTACACGTACATGCACGAAGCACGGTGAACGTTTTGCGTTTTGATGGGTGGCGGCAATGCCTTCTGAAAATACAATTACATTTTGCATTATTGTCTTCTTTTCCCCAGGTGGCCACGGTCCTAGACATAAAGACGAGTGCCGGCAGCAGCTTTTTGACATGCTACAAAAGCGCACTCAGTGACTTCACCTGCGGTTCTGGTAACATCACCAACCTCGTGTTTAATCGGATGTACATCAAACGACGGTTCAAAATCAATTCGGGATTTAAGGATCTGTTGCACGAGTACTTTCATGCTGTCGTGAACAAGTTTTCACTCACGGGGCAGGCGGCCTACGAAATAAACACCGGCGTAGCCAAGGCAACGGGAAACCGCATCCAGAACCTTGTCTCACAGAGTGCTTTGCGCTTCAAGTTGGTCCTGCTCAGTGCAGTTTACTTCAAGGGCCTGTGGCTAACCCCATTTGATATGACCGTGAAGGGACCGTTTCTCACGGCCTCAGGAAACAAGCAGGTCGACATGATGAAGCTTTTTACCCGGGTGCCGTATGTAAAGATGTCTGATTTTGATGCGATCTCCTTGCCGTACACGGACGAAAACTATGTTATGCTGATCTTGCGTCCACTGACACGAAATATGGCTGCCGTTTCACGTCTGAAGTACTCCCTGGACATTCTTGACGTCGCCGTTATCATGCAGCGTTTGCGTTCGTCGTCTGTTCAGATAACCATGCCTCGTTTCAAGATAAGAGCAGGTGGCTTTCTAAACAGAACCATGCTGCAGTTGGGAATTCGCAAAGTCTTTACGCGAGAGGCAGACCTGAGTAACATTACGGATAAGTTCCTTGCTGTCGGCCTCATTATCCACAAGGTGTTTATTGAGGTGACAGAGGAAGGTACCGAAGCTGCAGGAGCGGGTGCCGTCACTGACGTGCTGCCTCGACCCGTTCAGTTTATGGCAGATCGTCCCTTCTTTGCCATTGTCTGGAACAGAAAACACAAGATCAACTTGTTCTCTGCGTACGTGGCTTCACCATAGACGCATGGCTATGATGATGCACACTTTTCTGAGACGAGGCATAGTACTTACATTTGTATTGCGTGGATCGCATTAAACATGCAAACCCGACGTCACACATTCCGGAATAAACGGGTGGAAAGCTGGGACCCTTCTCTGACAAAGTTTTTGTATCATTTATGTTTAACCTTACCGATGCTTTTCTGGCAAATCTAGGGAAGTGTTTGCTACTCGCAAACAATGTTCTAACCCACCGTGTGAGTTGAACACTTCTGTCCTCTGCACCACTGTTGAAAGGAATGTTACTATCTTTGTCTTTTGATTTCTTGGGTTTTCATTGGAGTGTATGGGGGACTGTAGTGTGTGTGTGGCTATCTGCACTAACGTGGGTGATCTGGTGCCTTAGAAATATACGTTTTTGCGAAAATGTTATCTGTTTTTTACATTCCACCACTTTATAAACCCTTTGTTTTTGAATTTTTGGACATGTTGGCTCATAAAACATGAAACCAGGTTCGATATACCGACCATGCGCAATGCTGAGATAGTCGTGGTGCCTGTTGAAGGTTTGCAATGAGAGAACATTTTCGACGAAGAAGACAATTTTGATTTGGCCTGGACAAGAGACAATGCAATGCAATCCATGACAGAATTTTGAATCATCACGCCAGCATGCCTGTGTCTTCTTGAAGGTTAGCAGCCAAAGCAACTAGCATGATGAGTCCTTGGCTCGAATTTCTTTCTGAGTAAGGAAGAACGAAAGTACTGCGCAAAAGCAACCCAAGTCAGCAGCTTCTTTTGCGTTGAGCTATAATCACGTAGAGCGCTTGGCGATCTGTGTGACTCAGCAATGGCTCTGACGATCTGTGTGACTCAGCAATGACTCTGTCCTCAACGTCCTGCTCTTAAAGAGTGTGGCGTCAATGCAGTCGTCGGGAGGGTCTGCGTCCATAGCCTAGGCCTGTTAAGGTCAGTTGAAGATATTGGTCGCGAGATAACGGGTGCACTAGAGCACAGTCATTAAGTATAATATCTCTGGAGCAATATCAAGAAGGCGAGCACAAATTGCTTGTTCTCCGGACAATTCAATAACTACGCGTATGGACCAACAACCCATACGGAGTCGAAATGTCCATCCTGTCCGGGGCTTTGTCGTTCGTCGGTCTCGTTCCTCCTCGAGCCTTGTTCAGAGCTATACGGCGAATATCTTGCAGAGAACTGCCTGGGTTAGCAGAGAAGACGTGTCCTTCTAACGCATGACTAAGTCAGTTGTCACCAATATGTCGCATACTTCATCAGCTAGGCTGTTGTGATCTGCAATAATGATCGGTCTGCTTCGCCATCAACGAGCTCAGAGTAATGATCAGGAAGATGTATTTACCGTGTTTGGCAGGTTCATAGACAATGACCAGTTTTCTCACGGCTGCAGATGTACAGCAGCCGTGGCATCAAGGAATTTGTTTGGCTGTTCGGACAGATACGAGCCTCATACCCTACCAAGCCAGCTCCTATGCTTCCGCACCCGCTACTGCTACAGAAATGATGTTCACTATCCAACATTCAATATCTTTGTCATGTACGGTTCCTATCTTTACGGAGAATATATCCCAGATCACGCGTTCATGAAATATAACCTGCCGACTCGTTTTGAATGCAGCGTATTTTAGAAATGCGGAGGCAAAGCAACTCAGTTTTATGCACCTGATGCTATAGTACAATAATTTGCGTTGATGCCTGAGACCTGGACACTTCTGCATCTCATGATTTTGCGGGAGGGAAGTGTTGCCATTCAATGCTTTAGGAAACGTGATTCCTTGCGGATGAAACCATTTCCAGAGGAATGTTGCAGCCATTGGACCGCCTGTTTCTCGAACTTATTCAGTTGTGATCGAAAACTCCACATTACCCTCAATATCAGCATTCACAATGTTAAAAGACTAAAGTGCCTCGAGTGCCAGTAATAACGGTCGTGTACCATCCATTTTACACCAGGCGTAGGAGAGTGATTATGTAGGGCAGAATCACGCCACGTTGTTGCCGAAGGTTATCATCAAGGCCAAGTGATATCGAGGTCATTTGATGTCAAGCCAGTTCAAGTCAGTGTCATATCAGTATATTGGATTGTAATTTTATAATTTCAGCCAAGTCTGTTCGAGAGAGGTAAAATCGTCTAGTGATTCTCGCTTCATCTTCGCCTAACGCTAGCGTGACATCACTAGTGAGAAGACTGAGACTTCAACACCCTGCGGGCTGCCACAAGCGAAACGTAATACTAATACTGAGGAGCCATCGGAAAATCAAAATATTCACACGGATTATGAAAAGCCGCTAGCACCAGGGGCATATCACCAGCAATCCGATAGCTTAAATTTTTGTCGTTGCAAATATCGCGATGTGCTCTGCAAACATATGCGGGAAATCTTTAAAATCCAACGTCACGTGAAGTGAAGATGTGCACACGAGACTTTTTCGCAAAAGGGTCGTAAGAATATGGGGCTGACTTTGTACAACAAACGAAAAAACTATTAGTGGGAGATGCAGGTGACTAACTAACCGATCGCGTGGAATTTAAGGACGGGTATGACAACGTACGTGACAATCTCAACACGCGCTCAGGCGGGGGTGGGCCAGATTGACACCCCTCCCCCCGAAGATTTTCCTGAATGGTTTCCGAACGACGTGGCGTAGCCGTGCCAAATTTGGGATAGCTGTAGACAATTAA